CTAGGTTTTCTGTGATGGAGATGGTTGTTTGGGACTAGTATGTACAGAAGTTAAGAGAGGTGATATACTAAAGGCAAATATGTCATTTAAAAGTTTGACATTTTATAGTTTAAATTAATTAAAATTATTGAAGGGCAAAATTGACTTTTCATAATTTTAAGGGCTTGTTTGGATTTATTTTTTGACAATGTGGTGTCTTTGTCCAAAAAAGACTCAACTTGTATATGACTGTCCTTATGGCAAACCTCAAGAGGTGTCGGTGTACTTTACCCTTAATTTAAAACTTCTATGATAGTATACTTGCCTTCCCTCTTTTCTTCCACCTATTTTTGGGCGGATAAAAATTTGTACAGGAGACCCATCCTTCCTATTCTTCTCTCTTTCCTTGTATCATCTGTACCGAACAAAGAAAATTAGTTATTTTCTTCCTATAAACACCTCTTCCTTCCTTCCTACCGAACACAACATTAGAGGCAAAATAAATGTGTGAGTTAGTTTTTTTGCTATGTTAAACAAAAATTAAAAAAATTAAAATATATACATGTATATATATATACACACCTTGAATGTTGCATATATAAAAAAATAATGATACTATATATATATATATATATATAAATAAAACCCCTTAACCTTTGGATTCAATTTACAAAGTAAAAAACAAAAAATAAAGGCTTTAATTCATTTAGTCCCCCCTATGGATGTCAATGTTTCAAGAAGACCCCTTACATTTGCAAATTTTCAGTCAGACCTTTTACTTTATCTGATTCGCATCAAGTTCCCCCCCTCATGTAATGGTCAAACATGGTCAAAGACCTTTTTTGCTGTTGTGATGAAGAAATTTACTAAAAATGCCCAATTTACCCTGAAAAGAAGTAAAAAGACAGCTACAACCTTTACTTACTATAATGAAAAAAGGTGTGCTACAGTTCAAACCGTGAGTTTCATTGATGTATCATCACCGGTGCATCAGGACCCAACGAAAAAGTTTTAGTAGCTTCCACCGGAAAAGCATCAGCGAATAATAAAGAGAGAGCATTTTAATTTTGGTGTTGTGTACTGAATGTTGAAGATTTGAGAGAAAGTCAATTGTGTTTTGTTACAGTTTTGGTGAGCTTTGAAACGGTGAACAACGACGAGTTCTGATGAGCTTCGAAACAGTGAACAACGATGAGGAAGAAGAAGAGTAATTAATATATATATATATAAGAGGGCATTTTGTTAATAAAATATTAATTCATGAATAAGGGTAAAATAGACAATTTTCCCCCCTAGTCGGTACTCACACACATTTGTCTCTGTTGAGATTGAACTCCTGACTTTCCTTTGAAAAGTAAGACGCTGATACTGTTAGGTCACTAGCAATAATGTCTTTGACAGGGGCTCTGATTGAATATTTTTAAATATGGGAATCTCCTTAAAGTATTGACAAATTAACCACAGGAGTCTAAATGAATTAAACTCAATAATAAATAAAGAAAATAAAAATCACACAAGTTACAGGTTCAGGACCTTACTAAAAATATTTAGTTCAAATGAGAGTTTCCCTTTCTCTCTCTACCAATCCTTGAACTCTTAAGCCATAGCGGCCATAAGAGAACCAATAAAATGATAGTTTTCTAAGTCTCTAACTAATCATCAACAAGATGAAGTTCCTAATAATTTTCATTTTTTTGTTTTGTGTTTTATTCGGTAAATGGGCGGGCACATACCCATAAATATTCATTATAGAATTCGTGAACTCACTTAAAAGAAGAAATTTTACCATATAAGCTAATGGTCCGGTGATTACTACTGACAAACATTTTTGCATATAACTTTTGAAAAGAAAAAACATTTTTTCATATGCATGTCAATTTATTATCTTGCTTAATTAATATTAAATCATGTTGGCCATTAACTATCGTAATCCCTTATCTATAATTGTTATCTTAGTGGTTCACTTTCTATCTGGATTCCATTTTGTTGTGCAAGAAAACTATTGAAACCGAATGTTTGTAGAGAATATATTGACAACCACATGGTGAAGAAAATGTTCATGCGCCAATGTGGTTCCACTTCACATCACCTATGTATACATCAATTAATGTTACTTACCATTTTAATGATAAATTAAGAAGATGATTGATGTGCTTTCTCTCACTAATTTCCTTCAATTAATTGCTTTCTCATTCATCACTTGCGTGAAGTTCTTTCTTAGTGAATTTAATTATATAAATGCCACAACTTTTGATTTTTCAAGCCTTTTCTGGAAGTCAGTAACAAAAGAAATTGGGTGGGATGGGCATGGCCATAGATGTTGAGAAGTTTTTTTCCAAGCCGTAACTAATTAATAAAGGGATTAATATTGCTCATTATGGATGTTCCACAATTAGCAATAAACCATGTTCTTCCAGCTTATGCTTATCCACTTTTTAGAAAATTTAGTGAGTTCTGGAAGTTTTACATACCATGGCTAAGATTCGAGTTACAACTAGAAATATCAAATATACATACATATATATATATATTTGATGCATGTCTATAAATATGGGCACAAAGGGTATATAATGTTTAAAGTAATTGTCCAACGCTTGAATGCAATTTTTATTTTATTTATTTATTTATTTTTATGGTGTAAAAATATTGGAAAGAAAAGTTGAAAATAATGAGTAAATTTGTCAATAAATATGTAGATTTTGCCATAAAAATTTCATTTGTCCACTTAATTTGGTAAATGATGATGTATTATTTGATAGTTTCGTTTCCTAACGTTCATAATCTCTAAATAGAAATAATTATAAAGTTGATGGACTATTGCATATGCAGCTTCTTGTTAGGTGCATGAAATAAGTAGCCGTTTATAACTATGCAACTTTGCTGTAGGTCTTGACAAAGATTTATTAGAACGTAGGGTAATAATACGAAAGCAAGGGCACACAGACATCCATATGTATTGTGTATATATATATATATATATGAATAAAGCAATACATGCCTTATTATCAAATCCATTGATGATTGAACCAAAATCGTACTAATTAAAGATGAGCATATGCTATAAAAAGCTCCAAAATTGACTCTGTTTTTGCTTCAACCTGTTAAAGGTCAGGTCATTTGTCGTAGTAGTGATTAATTCCTTCCTTCAACTATATGACTAAATTATAAAGGAATTCTGTTCTCAAAATCTGTGTTTTAAAGCTCCAACAATTGTGTAAAAATCAATTCTATGTTTTTTCCTCAAAGTTTATTAGGTTGGAGATTAGACACGTACTTAAGTCCTTAAAATAATTAGAAAGAGGTTTTAAAACGTTTTAGGATGTTCCAAGTGTAAAAAAGAAATTCAAAAGTGGTTAGAAAAAATCAATCGAAAAAATTGCGACCGGTTAGACTTTTCAGAATTCAAACTCAGGAATTATGACAAGTGTCACTAGTTAGACTTGAACAAATTATAATTTTGGTTTAATATTCTTATGCTGGCCAAGTGAAACCGGTTGAAAAAAAAGCTACGGGTCGGATTGGTCCATATGACAATTTATTTTTTATTAAAAACCCTAATTGCAATTCTATACTATTAAAACAAAGTGTTCTCACTCAACACACATTCTTTAAAAGGCGTTCCCATCGAATTGAAATATGATTACACATATAGTTCCGCTCCAGACTTCAAAACTCAAAATAAATAAAAAATTACATCATTGGGCCATATTTTGACATTGAAAATTACCAACACAAAAAAAACATCTCTCACAAAAAGCACACGACTATAAGAGAGTAAGTAATTTTGCATTCATCATTCACGAAATAAAATAAATCTTTCCTTCGTTCTATACTATCATTCACAAACATGATCAAGGATTATTACTCAATTTTTTTTTATTCCAACCCTCCTAACTTATCCAAACACAAGAACGTACATAATAAAACCATCCTCGATCTCTTCTCTTTTCTTCCATTAACTAAGAGTCTCATTTCTTTTCCTTTCTAATTAAATTTTCAAACTAAGTGTTTGTTAGTACTTCGGTCCAGATTGTTTCATGTACACTAAATGACCCGGCTATATTATTTGGTTGGTCTAGCCTGATATCTTGGCCCAAAACACAGAATTGTAACAGACTTTTACGCTGCGCATTCACTGCCTAGGCCGGCCCAATATTTGCAATTTTTTCGGAACAGACCCGGGTTCGATTCCAGGCTGGTGCACATTTTTAATTACCCAAAAAAAAAGTATTAGCAATTTTTTGTAGATTAGGAGCCCTAAAGTTTGTCAAAACCCTTTGTACACTATTCTACCAGTGCTCACAATTTTTTTTTTTTTTTTTTTTTTAATGGGTCTATACAATTAAGAGATTTCCACACTAGTACCTCTCAACAACTTCTCTCTCCTCCCCCCTCCTTTTAAGACGACGTGGGACGATATAGTTTTGTTATCTATGTTTCCACAATCATCATTTAAATAATGTGAATTTGAATTTTAACTCTTGACATTGAGGAGGCTTTGATATTTGGCTCTCATTTATACAAATAACAGACATGGTATTTAGCAAATCATATAGGTGTAGCGGTGTTGATCAAGAAGTAAAAATTGATACATGATGAACAATTGATTTGTACTTGTACAACATATGTGCATTGATGTACAATACATAGTATCTGATGTACCATTAATTAATAATTAAAATAGATAAGGGCAGAGGTTTTGGAAAGACTGGCCTATGTTATGATTTTTTTGTTTACGTGTAGAGTTGTGATTGGATAGGAATATGCAGTTCCGGACTATATAATAATTTCTCCGATTTTAAGACAGAACTGTTTGAATGTGTATTTTATTAAATTATAATAGAGTAAGTATTTACTAACTTTAGCATTGAGATCACTTAATCATTGTCTTGGAATCAGAATCGATAAAATGTAGTTTAAACATCAGTGCTCCAAAACATATGGATTTCAGAACAAGTAAAGAAAAAAATGGGATTGGATTAGAATTACTCTTGTTCATATAAGCTAACAAGTCAAGGAAGCAAAGATTTTCTATTGATGATTAAATTACACTAAAACAAAACATTTCCCATATAATATTACCCAACAAAAACTGCACTTTGTTCTAGCTAGTAACCAAACAGCGGGAAAGATTACAAGCAAAATTCCCCTGTGGGTTGATCAAAAACAACATTAACCTTCGTCTTTTAAGCTAGCTTTGCACTATAATTTTCTAACTTATCCATCATATTCATCTTCAACCTCAACTTTGAAGAGCTTGAGACGCCTATCTGCAAGCCGTAGAGAATAGGTGGCTTTCTTGAATTCAGCCCATGTAAAAGGCCGGTAGAGAGAGGGCGTCGTTGGCGTGACCAACTCTGGTGGCGGAGCAATTTTTGCATTGAGTGGTGGTCCACAAAAATAGGCCATGGACATTCTAGACCCGACCGAGTTCAATAGGGCCCTGTGTCTCACACTCACAAACCTTCCATTTGTCATAGCCTTCAAAATTCACAAAAATATAAGATTAATGCTTAACTTAATCGGCATAGTTGATGATCATATACGTAGTGTATATCATTTGATAAATGTTCCAACAATATTTCAAAGAACTTGATCCCTAATGGAAGTGACAAAGAAATATAAACTATATACATACATTACTAACTCTTTTTGTGTGCAAATAAATTCTTCAACAAGGGGAAAAAATGAAATGAAAACTTGAAACACTTTAAAAAGACTTTGGAGCATTAGGGTGTACAACATTTAGTTCGAGACATGGTGATAATTTTTTGGGTGAGCATTAGGGTTAGCTCTGATTGCATGTCCAGATGCACGTGACCTCTATATAGACCATATATACATGTACTATATTTTTAGCAGGTTTTAGGGCTTTTGTGTCTCAAAACATATACCACACAATTTCATTTTTCCTTGATAAGAAAAAAAAAAAAACTTGCAATGCTTTGTTTGGCTGCCGAGAAAAATTCACAAAGGAAAAAATATTTGTAGAGGAAATCATTGCAATGTAATGGGACAGAAAGGACATGGACAACACCACAATGCTGGCTGACCCAACAAAACAGTTTCACATTACTGATAGGTGGGTGGGACCCTTATGTGATCATCGAACCAATACCCAGAAATCTGAAGTTGCAGTGGCAATTCAATTCAGTTTCAGTTCAGTTTCTATCAGTCAATTCCACCTTTCCAAAGATTGTGATGATTATCGTGAATGTGTGTGTGCTGTGTGTGAGAGAGAGGGGGAAGAAAGAGATGAAAGGATTCACCTGTAGCAAGTCACCCACATTAACACAGAATGCAGTTGGTTCAGGAGAGATTGGGACCCACACGCCATCCTCCACTGAGATCTGGAGGCCACCCACATCGTTGGATCTCAAGATGGTCAAGATCTGAGGGTCAGAGTGCTCTCCAAACCCAATCCTGTTGGTAGTCGTGGTGTTGTTCTTCTGGTGGTGATGAGGTGGATTATGATGATGATGTGGATGCAGATAGGAGGGTGACGTGTCCTTATCTTTGAAACAGCTGTCGGCCGTGAGAGGAGGATAGTGATTGACCCTGAGGATTGAGTCGCTATCAACGTCCCTGATTAACCTGCTGAAGGCTGATGTGTCTGGGACCCACAAACCCTCTGCCATCAGATCCAAAATCTCACATGCCAAACATCTAACTGCTTCTATGTAACCACTCACTGTAAAGCTGTCATCACACACAACCCAAGCCATTCATGAGTTCGTAACTCTCTGGTCTCTCTGTCCATTCCAACAATGCACTACCACATTTTATTACTTCATCAAGCAATTGTTACTGCACAAATCATTGTGACTCTATTTTTCTCTCTATAACTACATGCATATATACACGCACACACACAGATATATATAGATTTTTAATTTATTTGATTTGATTAGACCTTCTTGATGTACATAACTGACTTGTCAATCTGATTCTGATATATATGGATGTGTTCGTACACGTCTAATCAAATTTTCACTTCATACGTAGTACGGAGTATATATTGATATTTATGTACTCCCACTGTCTTTAACTTAAATATCGCTTTTGGTGGGTAAAAATTTTTAAAAGGCCATGTAAGACATATTTTAAATTTTTAAAAAATTATTAATTTGTCTTTATATTCAAGTTTAAAATTTTAAATTTAAAGGACATATATGAAAAAATGTAAAATATATTATTTGAAAAAGAAAAGTAAATAACTATTTTGAGACAGATCAAAGAGAAAAACATGCCATCTACTTTGAGACAGAGAAAGTAATATTTAAAAGATAAGTACCGTTCAGAGCGGAAGAGTTAACTCCATCAGTGTCTGCAGGGTGAGGAAGTGTCCCAGCTGGCAGGTTATGCTACATCACTGTGTACCTGATGCCAACCTTATTGGAAACCCATGAATGTGACTGAAGAACTCTCTCTCTCTCTCTTCGAACTAAAGACAGCTTTATGAAAATAGAATTTTTTTTTAATTAAGTTTTTATAAAACAGTTTTTAGCCAATCAAACATGTTTTTGTACAATTTTTTAATTTTAAATAATTAAAAAAAAGACCTATTATCCGAAAACAAAATCTACCACACCTTGCGTAACTCTCTAGTCAGTATATAAATTTAAGTCTGAGTGTTTTTGTGTTAGTCCAGAAAGGGTTACACAAACTTAATCCATCAAATTAAACCTTTTAAAACCAGTCATGTGTTCTGTGTAGTCTGTCTCTCGACACATTTTCTTAGGAGGTGTGATTGACTAGTCAAGTTGTGTACTTTGTATTCTAAAGATTGACTAATTGAAGAAAAGAAAGATACCTAACTTCTACTTACAGTGGACAATAAAAATTCAAGCCGATAAGCTTGCCTAATTTTGTACCATGCATGTTAACTTCCAATATAGAGATCGATGTGGAATCCTAAAATGTTCCCAACATGGTCACACATGGAAATGGATCCTATATTATAAATATACAAAAGTACACATGACTAGGTGTGTGTTTGAGTTGTGTTGTTTTTTTTTTTTTTTTTTTTTTTTTTTCGAAATTTTGAGTTGTATTTTTTTGGCAATGAAAAAAAAATATTCCATCCACCTGAGGGTTAGAGTATTTTAAGATTAAGGAGGCTCTAATTTACTTGTGTCCGCATTTGGAAAATAAAAACACCCACCATCATTCTATATTATTATGATAATCATATTATTATAAGAGCTAGAGAGATATTGGTGCTTTAATCAATTAATGTCTACCACAACTGATTGTAATAAATACTATTTTTTTTATTTATAGAAATGGCCCATTCCATATGAGTATTTGACTATTTGTACCTCTCAATGACATGGATAGAATGGTAACCAAAACATAACAAAATACATTCATGATATGAATAATAGATAGTTTCAGACACTTAAACCTCATAGTCTAGTTGAATTAAACAAAGCCACATTATGTGGCAAAATAAAGAACGCGCTAGTTAGCATGGTTCAACACATTAAAGCACAACTAAAATATACAAGACCTCTTTATCTACATATATATATCCTTAGTTTTTTAAATATCAGAAGCCTACCCAAAAAAATAATTGTTTTGCATGATCTAATCATTTGTGTACCATAAATATAATACACAAAACTCTCTCTCTCTCTCTCTCTCTCTCTCTATATATATATATATATAGAGTATGTATGTAACCGTTCATTCATATTAGATGTAAAAAATGTATAGAATAGTTCTAGAGTCCAATAAAACAGAAATATATATGTACATATATATACATATATGTTGCAATTTAAATTTGTAAGAATTAAATGTATTATAAGAGTGGTAGTACATACTACATACCTGAATTTTGTTGGGTCATTGGAGATAGTCATGGATTTCTGAGAAATGGAGAGAGGGTTGGTGTTAAGAAGAAGATATTCAACTTCACCAACATCTCCATTGAAGCCTATGTTCTTGCTACCATAGCCAAACGGGTCAGCCGGGCCGGCCCGCTGTTTATCGGAGGCCGGTTTGGCGAAGAACTCCGAGCTCTCTTCTTCCATTCTCCTAATAACATCCTCTGGGACACCATGGTTTATCACCTTAAAGAAACCATACTCGTCACAAGCTTTAACTATGAGCTTCGACACCTCTGATCTATCTTTTGATAGGTCTATGATTGGTGGCTCAATTTCTCTGATTTTTTCAGTTCGAATTGGGGTTGGAGAGGCCACAACCATGTTTGTTTTCAAAGGGTTTGTAGTGAGGAGTGAAGAAGATGAGCTATAAAATGAAAGTGAAAATGGGATACTATTATAGAGATAGAGAGAGAGAAATACTACTAGAATTTATGGAGAGATGAAGAATAAATTAATGTAGGGTGATTCGTAGACTTTAGGTGAAGTACAACTAGCAAAACTCATGTCACACTGGAACGTTGACCTTTCTGTTCTTTGACTGCTTTTCCCCCCCCCCCCCCCCCCCTTTACATTACCTTTATTTATCACCTTTTTTTGACTAAGTTTTATTTACTTAACTTTATTATTACCTTTATTGACTTAATATTTTCGTTAGTACTAAATAAAAACTCTCTTTTTCTCTCATACAAACACTATATTTGCAAGTTGAAGAAACCAATTCAACTCGAGATCTTAGAGTTTATTTTTTTCAAGATCCTCATCCAAACCGACAGCCCCCTTCCCCCAATCACACACACACAACACACAGAGGTATCCCCCTCAACACAATGAATCTGTAACATATATATAAAATCAGGAATGAAAAAGTGTGACTAGAATTTTCTACTCTAGATCATAGAGTGTGTCTTTTTCAAAATATTCGATTAATATTGTCTATGTTATGTTTGTTAGTTAAAAGATTTTTAACTCGAGATGTTAGAGGCCTTCTTTCTCAAGATCTTCAAAAAAAAAATGTGTATCTTACAATTATATTTGTAAATTAATTATTAGAGGGCATTTTTTCAAGATCCTATTTCAATTATGCCTATGTTACATTTGCAAGTTAAATGATTTTCACCTAGAGATGTGATAAGGAGTCTTTTTGAAAATCTTCAATCAATAAAATTTATGTTATATTTGCAAGTTAAAGGTTTTAATTCCAACCTTTACACATCTTTCCACCTATCCTCAATTTTTCGTAACAACTCCCCAACACACAAAAAAATATGAGAACTCTACAACATAAAATCGTGAATGGAAAAACGTGACAAGAATTTTTAACTCGAGATGTTTGGGGGAATCCAATTCAAGATCCCCAATCAATATTGTCTATTTTACATTTACAAGTTAAAGAATTTTCAACTCGAAATGTTAGAGGGCATCTTTTTCAAGATCCTCCATCAATAATGTCTATTTTACATTTTGCATGTGATTTTTCAGACACACATTACATTAGCAAGTTAAACGTTTTCTAGACTTAATTTACATTTTCCCCCAACTATTAGCTATTCTTGAAATATATATTATTCTAATTGTGAGTTCGTAATTCTTTAATTGAAAGGGAAAGTCAATCCTCCAATTGAGAGTGCGATATGGACAATCTAACACCCCAATTTCTAATTCATACACATATTTTTCAAACGTTTTCTAGGATTAATATGTCTTCGATCCCCCACCTATTATCAATTCTTGAGAAGGGGGGTATCATTCTAATCGTGCGTTGGTAAAAGATTTTCAACTTGAGATGTTAGAGACCTTCAATAAAAAATGTGTATGTTACAATTATATTTGTAAATTAAAGGTTTTTCAGGCTTTACAAAAAAACATAAAAGAAATTTATAACATAAAATCATGAATGAAAAGACAAGACGAAAATTTCAACTCGAGTTATTAGAGGGCATTTTTTCAAGATCTTACATCAATTATGCCTATATTACATTTGTAAGTTAAAGGATTTTCACCTAGAGATGTTATAGGTAGCTTATTCAAGATCTTCAATCAATAAAGTCTATGTTATATTTGCAAGTTAAAGGTTTTCCAACCTTTACACATCTTTCCACCTATTCTCAATTTTTCATAACAACTTCCCAACACACAAAAAAGCATGAGAAATCTACAACATAAAGTCGTGAATGGAAAAACGTGACAATAATTTTTAATTCGAGATGTTAGGCGGAATCCTATTCAAGATCGTCAATCAATATTGCCTATGTTACATTTACAAGTTAAAGAATTTTCAACTCGAAATGTTAGAGGGAATCTTTTTCAAGATCTTCCATCAATAATGTTTGGTAGGCGCTAAATGTTATACATTTTAGCTCCTTTACTTGTAAATTTTATTCTCTTAATAATAGTTTATTTGTGGTTTTACATTGTTTTATTGTTTTTATTTATTTTAGGACTTTAATTGTAAAATCAGTCAAGATCAGTGATTCTGAGCTTTAAAAGATGACATTCCGTGGGACCGAGCAATATTGAAGATCAAAGTCTAATTATACTTAGAAAATAATCCAAAAGAAGCCACAAGTTGATGAGAATGGAAGGAAGAAGAAAAGGAAAAATCCTTTTCCAAAAAGGAAACTTTCGCCAAAGTTGGTAACTTGAACCCATTTTGGTAATCTGGCTGTATTTCTCTTCTCGAGTGTCAAAACGGCTAATTTCCCCTATTAGTTAAAAGGAAATTCGAAGAACTACAATTTTGTATTTCACGAGGATTCCCTAAAACAGCTGTTTACCTTGTCAAAATTGATTTGGAAGTCTGTATAAATTTGGAGTCCTTATTTGATAGAATTTCTATGTCTGTCTTTTATATGAAAAAAGAGAACTTTAGGGATGATCTTTTATTATTTAAAGGAAGTCCTTTACAATATTGAAGCATCATACAGAGGAGCTTGAGGCTGAGATCATAGGAGAAGCATTCAAAAGAAAGAAGAGATCGATCCATGGCGGTGAAGATGTCTTCCTCAACCATGAAGAATTTCATTTTAGTCATGCTTGGCTAAACGCTTTGTTAAGGTTGTGATGTAGTCCTAGCTTAACAGACTGGTTTGATTGTATTTATTTATTAGAAAATAATTTTTATCATGCATGATTGTGTAATTTGTAGGATTTTTAATTGACTTTTCAATGAGAATCGGTTTTAGAGTTTTAATTCAATTATAAATATTTTTCTATCTTATCTTAAGTATTTTAATCTTGTAATTGAACACAACTCATTCACTTCTTGTAGTTGTGAATGAGATGATTACACAATGGTATTTATCTGAATATAATGTTAGAGATTTGATGGATTATGCCTAGAAAACATAGACCATGCTGCACCCTATAGTAAAGTAGATAGGTAGATGGTTTATACCAATCGAAGATAATTCATGCTTAACTTTAAATTATATTATTTTCTAACTGAATTAATATGTGCTTGTAGCCATGATTAATTCCCTATGTATGTTATATGATATATCTCCAATAAATTGGTGCAACTGACTGGTGGTGCGACGTTAGTGGTGAAATCATACCCCTAGTCCCCTCTCTCTATCTTCTACATCCTATTTAATCATTATTCTTTAGTTTATTTTATTTTTCTACTTAGTTAATTTAAACTAAATCATCACAATTTGAGTATCCTACTTTCAAGTTAATTTGGAATTTAAGAAATCTGTTGACAAACTTATTTTACACAAGTCCCTTGAGTACGACACCCTTACAAGTAAATCCTATCTGCAAAGATTCGTGCACTTACGAGTGATACATTTAAATCTCACAACAATGTTTATTTTACATTTTGCATGTTAAAGATTCTACAGGCACATGCTACATTTGCAAGTTAAAGCTTTTTTAGACACACACTACATTTGCAAGTTAAACGTTTTCTAGGTTTAATTTACAACCGGAGGGAAGAGGGGAGGGGGGGGGGGGGGGGGGGATGCATGTTATTCAAATATCATTTTAATCGTGCGTTGGTAATTTGCTAATTGAAAGGACAATCTCCATCCCTATTTCTAATTCACACACACTTCTTCTAAAACACATGTGCGATGCACGTGAGCAAAAGTGTGTGTTTAACTGTAAAGTAAAAAATTTGTAAAGGATAAAATATATATATATATATATATATATATATAAAAGAATAATTATGAATTATTACTTATGATATATAAACAATAGGGTGGAGTGCATTAAACTTCCTTTTCTATTTGCATTTTCCACTAAACCTCCCTTTTCTATATGTATATATATATTTTTTTTGCCAAAAAACCCCTTCAACTATCTGAGGGGGTAACTTAACAATTTGATGTTAACTGAAAGGGAACTGAAATAAAAATTCACCAAAATACCCATTAGGTTTGTTTGAAAATATGCTTGTAGATACGTGTGGTTTTTTTTTTTTTTTTTACTAAATAACCTAAACGGCGTCGTTCGTAGAAAGTAACACTTTTATATTTTTTATTGATATTTTAACAGTTTACTAAACTATTGATGGAAAAAAATAAAAATTTGAAAGCATTATTTTATTTAATTAAAAAAAATATATGTTTTTTTTTGTAAAAATATGTGTTAAATAGTTCCAAAAATAATGTTGAGACGCTCATCAATTTCACATTACTCACATGGAAGGAATAGATTTCTTATAGAAAAAAAAAACTATTTTTAAATTTTTAAAAAATCATGTTAGGAATAAAAAACAAAAGGGAAAACAATTTGGCATTATTTCCCGTAGTAATAGAAGTTGACCCAGCCATTTAATAAATTTGTATAAAATAATATCAAAGAAATGAATGCACAATATAATTCTTAAAAATATAAAAAAATAAAAATAGCAGATGGTTGGAAATGAAAATATAATATTAATAATAATTAATGGTACATATTATAATATATATATCATGGTAATTAAACAAAAGAAGCTTGTAAGGGATGGATTTAGCCGAGTCCACATGGTTAGGCCACATCATCAACAATGGCCCACAAGTCAAACGGTCAAAGGTAAGGGACATTTTTGCCACGTCATGTATATAACCCAAACAGAAGATCGAGGACTTGAAGACCTGAGTTGGGAGCAGGATTCAAGATGATCTGGGATCCGAGGAAGTACTTAATTGGTTTAGTGTCTGAAGTGCAGGGTCCGTCGAGTCGACACTCGATCTGACTTGTAGAGAGATAAATACTATTTGACTCCCATACATTTAAACCCATCTCATGTTAATAGACTACAGGTGCTGTCATTATAGACATCACCCAACCTCTCACTTGGCGTATAAAAGGAAATACTCCAAGGCCAATAAACAACCTCTAGAAAGAGAGAGCTCTCCATACACCTTTATCAAGGGAGTCAATAGTGTATCAATACATTGCCATCTTTACTCTCTCTCTCGACCTTGCCTGTG